CCTAAGGTTACTGAATTTTAAATGAATAAAATAGGATTATTTAAGTGAAAATAAAAGAATCAGCGCATGAACTACTCAGTACGAAGGTAAGAATCTCATCAAAAACCTTCTGACGGTGGTAGTCAAACAAATCCGCTGGGGAAGGGATAAAGCGCACTCAAGCTTGTTCGGTCACTTCGGGGGATGTCACGATCTATAAGAAAGTTTACACCTATGAAAAACTTGTAAAATCTTTTGTCAAATCTTTTAAATAAACTTAAAACTTGTAAACAAACTTGAAACTTATCTATAATCGTGAACACGAACGGCGTTCACTGATTCCTTTCAAGATACGCCGCGCACTTGACCTCCATTTGAATTCGAGAAAGTTTTGAATGTGTACTAGATCTATGTAATGGGGATAGGGGGACGAATGACAAGCCTGCTTACATCCGTGTTTTTTAATAATCCAAATCAGTCCCATTTCCCCGGTTTTCTATTCAACTTTGGAGACTTTGGGATGAAGCATCACTCCGGGTTCAAAGCCGAAAATGACGGGTCCGTTCCTTCCATAACTATTCTTTTTATGAAAAATATCGTCAATCGTATTAATGAAGAATGGAGAACTTTCTGAAAACCTCTTCTTTCCTTCAATTAGCAAAACCCAATTCTTTTCAAATAAATGAATCGAACTTCTCCCCTCCCTCGAAATGAACTGGCGTGAATTACTGCGGCAGCGTTTCGGGGACTGCGAAGTGGGTACCACTGTCAATATGGCACAACATTTATGTCATTGCCACGTGCTCAGGGGGACATGTACTTACTACGTACTCTATATCCGAAATGACGAATAACCTGATTACTTTCAAAAACTAGTATAGAAATTCGTGACTCGTTCTTATTATGTAAGGGTATTGTGCTCGCGGAAAAGCTTTACCTTGGTCGATTGTCCAGCCCTTTCGAAGTGAATTTTCCCGACATCGGCATGTTCGCGTCCATTAGGGCTCAAGTTTCGCACATACTGGGGCCTATAAGTAACGAAGTTTGAAGGGACGAGGGGAGCGTTTAATCTTGGAGGCTCAGTGGCACACAGGGAATCGCTTCACTTGTTTGACCTCAAAACAACGAAAATGCCTAATTCTCCCTCTTGTATTTGTTAAACAAAAAGTTCAAGTTGCTAAAAAGTGCGGGGTAAGCAAAGCATTGGAGATGAGCCTTTTACAGAATCCAGTAGGTCCTGTGTGGATTACGAGGCGTGCAAGTTTTGCTAACCTCAATCTCAAGTCTTCTGATTTTTTCCACTTTTTTAAAAATTTTCTGAAGCCAGTTGTGGCTCTTTCATATTTCACAATCATAACTGGCTTCATTGAAGCTCTATAAGCTCTGGATTTCATGTAAGCCAGACAGACAGCAAAAGTTTTTTGAAAGTCAATCACCGCAAGGTTTTGACTCAGAGGCTTCCTTGTTGAAATGTGGTGAAGCGTCGGATTAATCTCCTACATTCAGCGGTTCCTCGCGAAGTTGAGATCGAACTTCAAAATGTCAAAGAACAACCAAATGAGACCGGAAAGGTGACTGGAACAGAAAAAGCCGAACCTCAGATCGATGTAGTGGAGAAGCAACCCCTAGTGGCTCAGAAAAAAGGACAAAATGAATTTGTATCATTCGTCGAACCAGTTGAATCCAAACAAACTCAGTGAGTTCATCCAGGCACTATGTACTTAGTTTACATTACTTGTACTTTTTGATGTACGGGTTCAAGTCCCGTTTGAGGGCGAAGTTTTGCTCATAACTCGGCAGCCTTGTGGGTCTTTCGGATCGCGTAATGCCGCGAAATAACAGCAGTTTACAAAACTACAAGTCTAAACAAATTATTTTTCAATGTTTTCATCAATGGTGGAGTTCTTGTAGATCAATCGCTACCATGGAAAAGCGTCGTCTTGCTTCGTCTGATTTTACGAGTTCATTGCCTACCTATGGCAGTAATCTACTGGTAATCGGTGAGTGTTATTTGCTGTGAATCGTTTTGAACAACTTGTTATTTCCGTCATGAAAGTAGTAGAGCTAGTAAATCGCCAAAGTAAGCAACATGGATTCATTCTACCCCCAACTTTCCATTTTTCGTGTTGCGCCATGCCTTCAACTTCTTTCGAGAATCATTCGAAAGTACATTTTGTACTGTTATCTTGAAACAACGCTTTTCATCGTATCAGCTGACGAGTTAGCTACCATTGTGCTCAAAGAGGCTCAAGTCTCTCTAGACATTAGCTATCTTCAATGAATTGATCTTCGGACCCTCTGTGGGATATCGGCGCTGTTTCCTATTGTTGCATTGATCCATGGACATGGGATTTGTGGCGTGCACGTGAAATTTGTGCAAAAACGTGTTTTAACTTGTTGATGTACGAACCAATCCAAATGAGCCTCTATATCCGTAACACGTGTGGGACCCAATTTGTAGCAGTAATTATTTTACCTAGCGAGTAGATGTCAATCAGAGACCGTTCTCTTGGAATGGCTCCCACCTCGATCTGAAATCAGAGTGGTAGGGAAAAGCATTTGGGAGAAGGGGACATGCTTCAACTTGCGTTCGTTTACTGGTAGTTTACTCGAATTTCTGGGGTGGTCCGCCTGCTGGGTTGTGTGTTTTTCGTTTTGGCCTCATCTCTTAGTGTGCAATTCAGAGCGGGAGAGGGAGAGGAAGAGAGGGACGCCTTTAGTGGTTTTGTCTGCTTTCGTATATTTAATTAACTATCTGTTGTTTTTCATTAGTCGTCAGCAGTCGCCAGCGTTCGTATAATCTCGAATCCATCGTGGGATGAGCGTCGACATGACTCAGTCAAAGAAATAATAGCTGAAATGTGATACACACGTCCGGGAATGCAACAACAAGAACAAGTTTTCAGTGGGATTACTCCCAATGAAGCCATCTGCCCATCGTCCTCCTCTCTCCCCTTCCCGTGTCTATTAAATCCCGTGCACTCATCTGCTCAAAGGACAGAGTAAGCACACTTTTGCCTGTCACGAAACCCGAATGCCGCCAGAATGTTGGCCACGAAGACTTGATTGAAGTCGTACTCGTACTTGAGCTGGGAAGGGCACCAGAAGGTGAAGGGGAAGCGAGGTCTCGGTTCTTAGGTTTCTTAGCAAGCGGGGTCTAGGTACTTTAAGGAGTAAGGAATCGGTGCCGGTCCCGTGGGTTCGAGTCCCGTCCAAGGCGGATGTTTTGTCCGAAACTCGCCAACCTTGTGAGACTTTCGCATTGCGTACTGCGGCGGAATAACAGCAGTAAACAAAAACATTAAGTCAGCATAAATTATTCAAGTCTTTTACCCCTCCGAGCGAGAAAAGAGGGAACAGCTAGGGAATGGGGCTCGCCGTGTCAATTCAATGATCTAGACTTTTATATCAGCGTAAGCGAATCTGCACGAATCGGAGCTAAAATGGCACGTCATTTCGCAGCTTTCCCCGTATCCTCGCAACTAAATAGATTGCCCATCCAATGGGTACTTATTGAGAAGTGGGGGATCCGTATCTAGGTCCTACTTTTCCTTGTCCGACCTCCCTCCTTTCAATTCTGTTCGATCTCTTTTCAAAAATTGAACTTCACTTCAAAATACCTATTTTTTCGGTTCCCTCAGCTGTCTGTGCCAAAGTCAATTACTGGTAGTTAACAAGAATTAATTAGTAAAGTGCAGAGTACGAAAAGTACGCTCAAGGGTGTATTACCCAGAATCTCCCTGTTACCGTAGCCTAGATTTGTGAGATTTTTTAAGCCAAAAATAATCACGTCACACCGTTTCTTGAGAAGTGCTTACTAGACCTTACAGCCCTCGCGGAATCGAACTCCTGAACATTTTTTTGTGAGGGCTATCGAAACTTGACGTCTTCCGAGTGGTAGCTGCATAGTATCCTCTAAGAACTGCCTTCACTAGACTAGAAAACCTCTTGAGTAGCCGGCTAAACCACTTGAATCAGAGCAATCAAGGAAATTGGCCTAGAAACGATCCAGGGTCCTATCGGTGCCCTTTAACAGCTAACGACAGGGTATGTGTTATCCAATAGCCAAAGTCGAGGTAAATATATTTTGCCGACCAAACTCTGCCCCCCCCCCCCCGTTGCCCTCCCATTTGTACGTCACACTTCCTGAGTAGCTGTCGTTGTTGTTGATGAAGCGTGTAACTTCAGGGGCAGGCTCTCTTTTGGAAAAGGGTAGGATAAGGGGCCAAAGAATGGGCCAAAGTTGGGCGGGGTGTCATGTGACCGACTGTTCTTTCGTCGAAAAGGTCCCTTATGTGGCTGGAATGAGGGAAAGTCGGTGTGCCACCCCATACTTATATACACAAGTCACTGAGAAAATGCACCTGAGGGCAGTCGCCGCGAATCAAATTACTTGTGAGTAATACTAGTAGTGAGCTATGCTGTGTGCATGTTTTTTGCGTTGGCACGACTCAGAATGCCAAGCAAACTAATTGTCGAGTCAAGCACAGCACAAGAGGGCCTCCGACGCTCAGACGACGGCAACGGCAATGTTTATGGCGATTACCTTAAAATAAAAGGGGACCGCGCTGTTTTATGTACCTATAGCTTCTCATTGTCGTAAAGGAATCGCTTGAATGAACAGATTACCCGTGATAGATCACTGAAAAAAGTACAGGGTTTACTAGTAACACGTCCGAGCTCTGGAAGTTGTTAGTCTTCTTCTATGGAACTCTATGATCCCGAGTAAATTAGAAGGCTTAGGAAAGGAGATAATTATCACTATTTATCTCGTCGTATCATCATTTATCTCGAGCGAAATAACTGACCTCAAAATGCTTGGCTATCCATTTTTCCTTTGACATCATCGAAGATTCCGAAGTGGCGTGTGAGCTCACTTATTCTTAGGACCGTCAACCCCTTTGGCTTGCAAATTACCCTTTTTCTGAGGCTATTAATCCAGCCAGCTCAAAGTTGTTTTCTCAGATCGTTCAGCGTTTATACTTTCTTTTTCAGCCGTAGGTACAGTGCTCATCGTAGGAATGGTAGGAACGGTCGTTGGTGGCGGCTACTATATCAAGTAAGTACTTACTGCTTTCTACTACCATTTCCCATTGGAATGATTTCACCCTCCTCATGCTTTTTTTGTTGATCATTGGGATGTAGTCGCGAGACAAATTCACATCATTAGCATTCGAGCACATGCATGTTTGTTAGGCTGTTAGAAGACACAGAGAACTCGTGGGCTCGGGGAGCTCGAGGGCAAGTATTGACTGACGTGACCAAGTGTGCGTGCATGTACTCTTAGTCACAGCCATGCCGTCGAGTGGCCATTATGCTTGAACGATTGCCTGACGGGTTTCCATAGCTTGCCTTCCCCGTTTTTCCCCTTAGCCCAAGAAAAACGAAGTTGATGATGCTCTAGAGAAGAAAGATCACATAATTTCAAGGCTCATCGGTTTCAGGAGACGACGCAGCTCTCCGGATGACAGCGAATATGCACCGTATGCTGGAACTGGACCTGGTTTCAAAAAGAATAAGGTTAGACCACTAGACATCACAAAACATACAAAAGGTAAACAAATATATCGACTACGACACTATCCTATCCCTAAACCGGATAATTTCCCTCAACTACCTGATCATATTCGCGTTAAAAGCTTTTAGGTGGTGCAACCTGGCTCCTCTCGTACCAGAAATTCCAAGGGTTTCATATTAGCAATAGTGGAGGATTCCTCATGCTCGATGTAAAGGAAGTAAGAGTCAAAGAATAAAGTCTCTGGCGTTGATAAATCAAAATCCGAAATCAATAGAGTGTTCAGGATGCGCCCCGCATCAGACTGCAGTTCAAACTCGTAGCGGTGAAAGGAATGAGTATAAGACCCATACAATGATTTGAAACTCATGTAAAAGTAAGCAATTTTATCCTCCCAGGCGACTGTGATACCAGTAGAGTGAACCCGATGGATAGAAGGTTCCTCTGGTTTGGGCGGGTATCGATCCTGGATTCGATCTCAGGACCATGCATGTGTGGTAGTGCACCATTTGCCATTGAGGCATCTTTTCTCTGTTGAAAGAAATAGCTGAGCAAAAATGCAGAACGGCACAAGTGGGAATCCTTATCACTGAGAACAGCTATGTGATCCTCTGGGTTCCGACTTCCGTTTCTTGACTTTGCTTTCCATTTCCCAGGAGCTATGCTCTTCCTCATGCCAATTTATTTCTAAGTGATTCTTGCGCGCGTGGATTTTTACTTTAACCTACTTTTCCTAAGAAGTAGGCTCGCAACCTCAAAAAAGCGGACAGGAATGATTAAAAAAGTTCGGAAGTACTACGAGAAGTAATAAATAGAATACGGTAATCGAATTACTCAAGTGCTATTGTGTTTGTTAGCTGTAAGTGGGTACAAACTTTCTTGAATGAGTACAATCGTTCAGAAATTGTGCTTACCCGTGATAATCGCTAAGAACTATCTGTCACTTTTTTTAAAGATATTTTCACTTTTTTTCGTCTGTCACTTTTTTTAAATATTTTTACTTTTTTTGTAAAGACAAGTTAATTTTTGGTTGTTTCAGGGTGACAAAGGCGATGAGTCTTTAGCGTACAAAGCGCAACTCCACCAATACCAACAGGCAAAGCAGAAGATTATCTGTGGTGAAGATGTTCCTGGTAAGCGTTTTTTCCACGAAAGTACAGTGCTTTTTCCCCTTCATCCATGCATTAATCAAGAAAATGGAGCCTAAAAGTTCTATTGCACTTTATGGTGATTTTCTATGAAAGGCAATGCTCATAATACACTTAAATAGCCATATGAATGAAATATTCGAGGTAAGCCTCTCAAAAAAGGCTTCAGAAGTGTCCTTCTTCTATGAATCGTCGACTTATTTCTGTTGGACCACATAAATAGACATAATAAAAGAATAATTTCAAGCTGTCGTTTTGTAAGGGCAGAAGCGTGAGGAACTTAAGTTGAGGCTGTGCCATCTAAACCTGGCTACAGATTTCCCGCTTTGCTGTTACGTCGGGGAACGTTTGGGTCTTGGGCTGGCCTATTGTGCTTTAAGCAATTGTACTTAGGCGATGCACCCAGTCAATTTTTCAGAAAATCACGAGTGGACCAATCACAGGCTCTCTCGACCCCTACGAGTCTGCTATTGGTTGTTTCACGTTGCCCACCAATAGGATACCTCGCAAGATCCATCGCACCTCTCCTTCAATGAAAAAAGCGCTTCCCTCAACTACATCCCTCCAAGGCACGTGGGATAGTAGGGAGTGATGAAAGAAACACGTCCGCGTCACTTTCAAAGAGTTGTTTACTGGTAACTCTTGGTGTCGTGCCCGGAGTACTTCAAGTACGGAAGGTTTCAGATTGCATTTTTTACTCATATCCCAATACCAAATGGTAGGAGCACACCGGCGCCCCTTGTTTGTTGTTGTTGTTGTTTATCGAGATGTTTTCTAAACACGATGACAATCAAACTTCAAAACCTGAAAATGGATATGTATTAATTTAATCGGATTTTTTTGAACTGTGTGGGTGACTCTGGCATTCGAGCTTTCAAAGAGCATCCACTAATGACTTCTGGTCAAATTCGCCAAATAGAGGGATTGCTTGGTTCTGAAACGCTGGGGGAAGAGCCGTCTGCAAACAAATGACGAGGGGGTCGATGTCTGTTTCGCGTGGTGCCCAGTTTTTTGCCAACGAATAACGTGACGGATCTTCCGGGTTGTTCCATGACTCTTTCCGCACTTTGTTTAGTCTGTGCTTTCATTTTTTCTTTTTCTACTAGTAAACAACGACACCTTCCCTACTAGTAATCAATACTGATATACTCCTCTCGCCGACAATCGATATTGTCATTTTTTCGTCAAAGCTATGTTGTTTGTGAGTGAGATACTCGATACTACTTACATTCTGGCGTGCTAAGTAGTACTTGAGAGTTTTTGATTCCCTTTCCAATAGAGAATTGGGATTATCGAATAGTCAGAGGGGTTAGGACCGGGGCCGTACACGCGAGAAGTTCTATCCTTCTTTTGTCCCCTAAACTTTGTCTTCACAAAAGGACATGTGCTTTCATTGAAGACTTCGACTCGGCAACTCGTGCTCGTTTCTTTTCGAAAATGCCATTGAACACTTTTTTTCCATCCGGCTTTCTAAGCCTCGCTTCGATTTTTCTGCCGAATCCCTAATTGTTGGTTCCTTCCCTTCCCTGTCCCTCAAGTCCAATATCGAACTAGAGCTTTGCCTCGTGAACTATGCCACGGATAGCTATGCCAATTTCCAACAATCAAAAAAGAACTGGATGATTTATAACGGGAAATCTCATGGAAACACGTTAGCATATACCGGGAAAAAGGATGCCTCTTCCATAAGCTGGAACTCGGAGATTTGCATAATCCAAGCCCATTTCCCTGGAACTCTGCATCGACCTTCTTCAGCAGTTCTGCAGGTTCCATCGTCGATATTGTGGNTTGGGAAATTTCTTTCGGTCAGATAACCAAATTCCCGTTTCCACCTTCAAATCGGATTTTAAAATTTGCTACCGCACTTGAGGAACCTATGACTTTAGTAAAAGAATCATTGCGTCGGAAGGTGCGCCATCTTAGGGCAAAGCCACTGATGCGTCTTATCGAGTATCTTTGAAGAATTACTTTGCGTAGCCTTGCATGTGGAGACTGCTGTAATCCTGCTATCACTTCCCATCCGATTAGAGAAGTTTTTAGAAGTTATGACGCTCTAATGGATTGGATCTCAGCTTAAATGAGACGAGAGAAATCCCGTTTTATGAAGATGAAGCTGCCTACGAGGAGGGAACTGATGAAGGATAAAGGGATAAGGTAGCGATAAGTGCGAGATAGTAAGAAGACCAGTAGATCGTCGTGAAGCGTATGGACTCAACTTGTGCCGAAAGTCAAGCGGCATTCGAAGGGGAATAGTTGCATGAATTAGTGACTGATTCTTACCCTTCACACAAGGCTCGTTCTGAGAAACTTATTCTGAAAAAGGCCACTGAAGTTTGAAGATTCAGAGCTGTGTCATCTTCGTCGTGTCCAAATCAGGCGAAGCTCCACCCACTCTGGCGATCACCCCGCCCACTATAGGATAACGGTAGAAAAGCTGACAAGTAGGCAAGCAAATAAGCCAAGATTTCTGTTTTATGTACTGTTAGAATAGTCAAGTTCTGTTACGATAGCAGAGTTGATTTTCTCCGATTCCAAATGAAGAGGAACAGCACACGATTTTCCTGTCATCGAGCAAAATTATTAGCATTGCAGGATTTGGTGGTGTTTTTGTACTCTGACTGATAAACAGACTCAAACAATTTGAACAATGCACATACGCCTACTTTGTGGAAACCTTCCTGCTTCCTACATCTCCAAGGGAAATTGGGAAGAAATTGAAGGAACCATTTCAGCCAGATATCATTCTTTAATGTTTTTCTAACGATGGGAAATCTTATTGGAAGGTTGGCATAAAGCTGCAGAAGTGGTGTCGTCGTTAAAAAATGTTTCCTAAGTTTTCTTCTCCTTCAGCGTTTGTACCGCTTAGGAACGGGATCCGCTTTTTTGACGAACTGACGCCACTTTTACCGATTGTATGCTTGGTAGGGGTGGAGACGTCAAGGCTGAGGTCGGTCTTACGAGTACTGTCTTTGTCCGAGCGTAGGATGTGGCCGTACCATCTATCAAGGGAAGGATCCCAAGTCGAAGTGGCCATTTGAAATGGGACCTATACTGCTAGGCGTATTTTTTGACGCTGATTTCAAATATGCATTCAAAATCTGCCAAACGATTCTCTGAACGAAGTTATGGAGGTGGTCTCCGGAGAGCGCTCAACAGGGGAAAGCACAAAAGCCATGATTGCCGGCAGGCCAGCAGTGGCGGCCTGGAGTGGAGGTGAGCG